TGAAAAATGTCGTCTCAAGAGCGTCAGGTGATCACTGACATCATAAATAAGAGTGTCAATTGTTAAATCAACAAAAGGAGTCACAGTGCACTTACTCCCAATGTAAGACCTCTCTCCTTAATGTGTTCTACTATAAGAATTAATGGTAAAACTAGTCTTCAAACAGTACTTTATACTTAGTGTTTCTGTGTGGGTACAAACTGTTGAAATCTTTACTTAGCATATACTAAATTGATCTTCTGTATATAAAGATAATTGAAAATGAATCTTAATGAAGAATGGGATGGGAGAAGGAGTAGGAGGTGGGATGGTTTGGGGGTGGGAGGGCTGGTATGGGAGGGAAAACTGCTATAATCCAAAAGTTGTACTTATGAAATTTATATTTAATGAATAAAAGCTTTCTATAAAAAAAGAAAAAAAGTCTGATGAAGTCTTTGGTCTATCTCTTAACTGGGTTTTTTGTTTTGCTGTTGTGGAGTTTCTTGATCTCTTTGTAAATTTTGGTTATTAATCCTTTATCAGTTGTATAGTTTGCAAATAATTTTTCCCATTCTGTCAGTTGCCTCTTCACTTTCCTGTTTCTTTTGCCATACAGAAACTTCTCAATTTGATGTAATTCCATTTGTTAAGTTGGGCTTTGAAAGCCTGTGCCACTGGGGTCTTTTCTAAGAAGTGTTTGCTTGTGCCAATGTCTTGAAGAGTTTCTCTAATGTTCTCTAATACTTTGATAGTGTAGGGTCATAGATTTAGATCTTTAATCCATGTTGAGTGGATTTTTGTGTAAGGTGTAAGGTAGGGGTCTAGCTTCATACTGCTGCATGTGAAAATCCAGTTTTCCCTGCACCATTTGTTGAAGAGACTGTCCTTGCTCCAGGGATTGGTTTTAGCTCCTTGATCAAATATAAGTTGCTTGTAGATGTTTGGATTGATTTCTGGTGTTTCTATTCTGTTCCATTGGTCTGTCCATCTGTTTTTGTACCAGTACCAGGCTGTTTTGATTATAACTTCCCTGTAGTATGTCTTAAAAATCTGTTGTTGTGATGCTCCAGCTTTGTTTCTATTGTATAAGATTGCTTTAGCTATTCGAGGTCTCCTGTGCCTCTGTATGAACTTCAGCATCATTTTTTCTAGATCTGAGAAGAATTTGTTTGGTATTTTGATTGGTGTTGCATTTAATCTGTAAATTGCTTTCAGAAGAATGGACATTTTGAAGATATTGATTCTTCCAATCCATGAGCATGGAAGATTTTTTCCATTTTTTTGTATCTTCTATTTCTTTCTTTAATGTTTTGTAATTCTCATCATAGAGGTCTTTGACATCCTTGGTTCAATTTATTCCAAGGTATTTGAATTTTTTGTAGCTATTGTGAATGGGATTGATCTTAGAAGTTCTTTCTCAGCCATGGCATTGCCTGTGTATACGAAGGCTGTTGATTTTTTAGTATTGACTTTATGTGATGCTACTATACCAAACTCTTCTATGAGTTTCAATAGACTCTTAGTGTAGTCTTTTGGATCCTAGATATAGATATAGATATAGAATCATATCATCTGCAAATAGGGATAGTTTGACTTTTTCCTTCCCAATCTGTGTTCCTTTGATTTCTTTTTCTTGCCTAATGGCTCTGGCTAAAACTTTCAGGACTATATTGAATAGCAATGGTTAGAGTGGGCATACCTTTCTAGTATTAGATCTCAGTAGGAATGCTTCCAACTTTTCCCCATTCAATAGGATGCTGGCCATGGGTTTGTCATAAACTGCCTTGATTGTGTTGAGGAATGTTCCTTCTGTATCCAATTTGCTTATGGTTTTCATCATAAAATGTGTTGTATTTTATCAAATGCTTTCTCTTCATCCATTGAGATAATCATATGGTTTTTGTTCAGCAGTTTGTTAATGTGATGTATCATTGATTGATTTGCTAATGTTGAACCATCCATGCATACCAGGGATAAATCCCACTTTGAGTGGATGATCTTTCTACGTGTTGTTCGATTCAATTGGCTAGAATTTGTTGAGGATTTTTGTGTCTATGTTCATTAGGGGAATTGGTCTGTAATTCTCTTTCTCTCTTGCATCTTTTTCAGGTTTAGAAATTAAGGTTATGCTGGCTTCATAGAAAGTTTAGGAGGATTCCCTCTCCTTATTGTTTTGAATAACTTGAGAAGAATTGGAGTTAATTTTTCTTTAAATGTCTGGTAGAATTCAGCAGTGAAGCCATCCAGTCCTGGGCTTTTCTTTTTGGGGAAGGCCTTTATTACTGATTCAGGTTTTGTTTTGTTTTGTTTTGTTTTGTTTTTGACAGGCAGAGTGGACAGTGAGAGAGAGAGACAGAGAGAAAGGTCTTCCTTTGCCGTTGGTTCACCCTCCAATGGCCACCATGGCCGGCGCGCTGCGGCTGGCGCACCGCGCTAATCCAATGGCAGGAGCCAGGTACTTATCCTGGTCTCCCATGGGGTGCAGGGCCCAAGTACCTGGGCCATCCTCCACTGCACTCCCTGGCCACAGCAGAGAGCTGGCCTGGAAGAGGGGCAACAGGGACAGAATCCGGTGCCCTGACTGGGACTAGAACCCGGTGTGCCAGCACCGCAAGGCGGAGGATTAGCCTAGTGAGCTGCGGCGCCGGCCGCTGATTCAGTTTTCATTTTGGTTATGGTTCTGTTTAGGTTTCTGTGTCTTCATGGCTCAATTAAGGTAGGTTTATGTCCAGGAATCTATTTCTTCTAGGTTTCCCATTTTGTTGGCATACAGCTCTATGTAGTAATTTCTGATGATTCTTTTTATTTCTGTAGTGTTTGTTGTTACATTTCCTTTTTTCATCTCTGATTTTTATTGATTTGGGAATTCTCTCTCCTTTTTTTGGTTAGTTGGGCCAGTGGTGTGTCAGTTTTGTTTATTTTTTCATATTGTGAGCCTTTTTTTCAACAAACCCTAAGCAGTTTACAGGGTAGGAAAAGGTCCAGAGAATGGCAACTAAAATGATCTTTGGGAAAGAGGAGCTGCTTTAGGTTAACAAACTTGCAATGATTAGGATGCATCAGATTGGGAAGATAACAGTTTATAAAATCGTGAGGGTATGGTGCATATACACATTTACCTTGGTTAACACTTACCATCCCATCATCATCAACTGACATGGGGTTTGGGAAGATATAAAGGGGTTGACATAGTGCTAATTAAAATCTAAATCAGTTAAGGCAGAAAGACCATTAGGCTAACTGATAAATAGGTAAATAAAAATTCAAGGTACCAAGGGATGTGTACCAAAGAAATGCCCACCTCTCCCCAAAAAAACTTGTAAAGAGAGGAGAATTTTTACTTAAGTTGTAATTACTTTGGAAACTAATGACAAAGCCAAAGTTGCTGTATCCTGGCACTATACATGGGGGTGGAAGGAGTAAGTACATTTTTATGAATGGATTTACAATATATTGATTTTAAAAATCAGTAATATTTAGAGACATACCCAAGCTTTGCGGTGTATACCTTAGAATGAAACAAAAACCTGATTCAAATCCTGTAGTACTAGCTCTTGCGTAAGCAGTGTAACCACTCTGAACCTCCATTTCTCCATCTGTGACATGAGAAAACCCCTTCTACAAAGAGATCTTGTCAAAACTGAAGGGAGTGGCGTCTGTAAAGTATCAGGAATAGGACCGGGGCTTGAGGATCTGTGCAGTGCTTAGTTCCCTAAGACACTGCTTGCACAGCATCCTTCAACAGCATGGTCAGACTCCACAGCCCAGCCTGGGGAGACGCTGAGTCCACCCCAAGTAGGCAGCATTTGATTCTAACCCTCATTTTTCTACTTTTGTCCTTACATCCATTCTTTCAGATACATTGGGCACATATTATGTCAAGTATTGCTTTATTACTCAGGAAACAGTAGTGATAAACATAGATCTGTATCCGGGCCAGCGCCGCGGCTCACTAGGCTAATCCTCTGCCTTGCGGCGCCGGCACACCGGGTTCTAGTCCCGGTCAGGGCGCCGGATTCTGTCCCGGTTGCCCCTCTTCCAGGCCAGCTCTCTGCTGTGGCCCGGGAGTGCAGTGGAGGATGGCCCAAGTGCTTGGGCCCTGCACCCCATGGGAGACCAGGATAAGTACCTGGCTCCTGGCTTCGGATCAGCGTGGTGCGCTGGCTGCAGCGTGCTGGCCGCGGCGGCCATTGGAGGGTGAACCAACGGCAAAAGGAAGCCCTTTCTCTCTGTCTCTCTCTCTCACTGTCCACTCTGCCTGTCAAAAACAAACAAACAAAAAACAAACATAGATCTGTATCCTGTTCTTAGGGAGCTCACAGAAGGAGATCGGGTTCACGAACTAGAAATAAAGTGATTTCATAGAATGGTCAAAAACAGGGTTTGTAGGGTCATGCACAATGAGGGTTGAGGCACAGCCCTTTTCCTGAAGAGTTGGGGGGGGGACACAGCATTTGAGCAGCCTCCACAAGGGTACAGTCTCTGGTTGTTTGAAAACATGCAGCATTTCCAGAAAATGGAGGAGCATGGGGAGTTCCCCAAGGCAGGAATGAGTAGGGAGTGTTCAAGGCCCAGAGGAGGCCTGTATGAGTGAGCATCCTGGATGGAGAGGGACAGGGACGTGGTTAGAGAGGGACAGAGGACAGCTAGCCCTAGGTGCTCAGGGCCAGGCCAGGACTCAGCATTAGCAGCCGTCAGAGTTTTCAGCTGATTAATGATGTGAGTGGTTTGTATTTTTGAAAGGTATCCTGGCTACTGGGTAAACAATGGGACTCTGAGGGCAGCGGGACTCAAAGGAGATGGCTCTGTGCCTGCTTTTCCAACCCCACGCTCGTCCCTCCAGATTTCCTAGAAGCTGCTCCGTCCTCTTTCTGAACTTGACAGTCACACTGCCTTCAACGCCGCATCCCTCGAGCGTGGGCTACCTTGACACAGATGACTTTTGTGCTTGTCATGTTTTAGGACATATACAAGTTATGTTTTCTCAGGTGAGATAGTTAACCCAAATCATGTCGTTTCAGGTTTTAAAAATCAATTTGATTGGCCACAGGAAACGCATTTTGGCCTCTCTGGGAGACAGGCTGCACGAGGATCCACCGCAGAAGCCCCCTCGGTCCATCACCCTCAGGGTAAGTGCCAAGAAGTCCTCCGTGTCCTCTGCTCTTGGCCTCCAAAATCTCATCATGCAATAAAGCAGCTGAAGCTATGGGCAAGGAGTGCAGTTCCCTGTGGAGCTCACAATCCCCCTTTTGGTTGTGTTTTATAAAACGAGCTTTGTTTTTGTTGATTGGTTAGATCTGTGTTTTTGAGCTTTAGATGATACGCATCTGTCATGGAATTCAGTCTGGCCAACCTCCGCCTTTAGGAACCAGCTCCTATCCCACACTCCCGTCTACACTAAGAGAGCGGAAATGAGTTTTCTGTCAGACCCCTCAAACCCACAGAAAGAAAATCAATAAAGAACTGGAGTTAAGTAAAGATCAATTTAAAATTAACCTTAGGGTCTTCTTTTTTTCAAGACATGAAAATTGTCCATCTTTACCCCCTTCTAAAAAAATTAAGAATAGAGAACTAAAACTTTATTTAATGAACTCTTTCAGCTATATTTTAGGATTACAGGGAGAAGCAATAAGAGGAACCAAGGAAGGGGGAGGGAAATAAACAGGAAGGGAAAGGACAGAGAGAGAAAATGAGAGACGATTTCCAGGAGGAACAGCAGTGCCAAGGAGCAGCCGACATCTCCTGTTTTCATGGCTTCTCTAAGAACCTTTCCAACATTCATCTCAAAGTTGGGCTCTCCCTGGCAAGCTGGAGATTCCCCATACTGTTCTCTTCAGTCCTGTGCTTACTTCAGATTCCCTTTTCTGCAAGGTGTCAGGAAAGGCAGTGCGACAGTAAATGGGGGACACAGGCATGGCCCTTGGATGTAACTGTCTCTAAGGAGGCGCAGCAGAATGGTGTAGCTACCGTCAGGGTGGCAGGGGGCTGGGCAGGAGATAAGCTGTGAAGCTTCTGAGTCTGACTGAGCTTGGAAAGAGAAGAAAATATACCGAGATGTCAGGGAATGCCAGAGAATTGGCTCCAGGAGGGAACCACGAAGAAAATTGATTACTGGGGGAATCAGGATACACTGGCATGTTTGGAAGCTACTTGAGGGCTTTGAGAGTAGGGGAAGTAGAAATACAATTCATTTCCCCCCTCAGGAAGAGCAGCCTTAAATAAATTGAAGGAAAATTAGGCTAGAAAGGGATGAGGTCTTACCTTCCTTTTTTCCATAGAAGGGGAAGAAGCTGTAGGCGCCATCACTGTAATGACCTCAGAAGGACTCTGCAGAGAGCGATTTCCTGCTGCTTGCTGTGTTCCCTTCCTGAACCTCTGGCATTAACTGTCCAGAAGAGATTTAGGGGAGAAACAGATGGATCAAAGAGATTTCCAAAAAAAAGTGCAGGACCTAAATCTGTCAGAGAAAGTTCAGAACCCCTGGGAGACACATGCCGGGCAGAACCAGCACCCCAGCTCAGCCGTTCTGGACTTGGGGCAGCTCTCTGTGCTTGAGCACCCTCTGTCGTTGCTTGCCCTGCTCTGCAGTCCTTGCACGCGACATGCTGTGTGGCCCTCCTGTGTCCTCTCCTGGGTCCTACTGTCAGAACACTCTGGTGGAGGATCAACACCCATTCAGTTCCATGTTAGCTTTCCCATGATTGCATATTCCATGGTGAGGGCTCTGCCTATGCGAAGACCCCCTTCTCCCCTTGTGAACACACGTGATGGTGTCGGGGTGCCCAACAGAGCTGTGCTTCCCTACTCAAATCCCCATAGCTCTGGTTTAAGAAAACAAAGCCTGATTCTTGATACTTTAAGCCTTTGACCAGAAATGCTTATGGGGGAAAGCATTGACTAGATCATGCTGTTAATAAAATGACAGATGTCATCCTGTCCTTGGCAGTCGGTTCAAAAACCACTCCCACCTCCCCACGGGTTTTTGTCTTGTCAGTGTTTCGCAGTTTTGAACCAAAGGTTAGCCACAGAGCATGGTATTTATTTCATGATGTATTTCCATTCAGGAACCCAGTGGTAATCACACTCCTCCTCAGTTGTCTCCATCACTTAGCCAAAGCACTTACACCACTGGTGGCTCCCTAGACGTTCCTCACATTATCATGCAGGGCGATGCAAGGAGGAGAAGAAATGAAAACTACTTTGATGATATTCCCCGATCAAAACTGGAGAGGCAGATGGCCCAGGTAAGGTGTTCAGCAGTCTGTGATGTGTTTGCCTTTCACCCATATCAGGTAATGCATTCGAATATTGAACAGTGGCTCACAACAGATGCTTGTTGTCCACTCCTAACTGGAACTCTGCTATTTTATGGGGTATTTCTCATTCCCTGCTCACTGGAACCAGTCTGGAGCAGCCCTTCCTAGAAAAGGAATGTATGTACATATCCTTCTTACCCATTCTTCCCTAGGAAGTGGTGTCTCATCTCATTGCCCCACAAAGTCTTTGCCCTAAAGGGAATAACATCGAACCAGAATCAAGTTACAATGCAAATGAATAATAGAAGTTAGATTATAAAATGTAAACTGGTTGAATAATGGGGCAGAAGCTAGGGGATGGGGAGGTATTATTAACTCTGTGTCCTGTTGTTAGTATTCTCCTACATTTACACGTGTGTATAAAACTGTGCTACAGGGACTAGTTGCGTCATCTCATGTTGTCATCTTAAATATTTGAAAACGATGCTTCTGCCTGGGCCAGATCATTGAAAAGAGGTCTGTTGCCTTCAGACCTTGCCATGTTTTTGGTGAGGATGTCCCTGTCTAGCCTACCCTTGGATCACTGCTCAGACGCTGGAGTCAACCATAGCCCAACTGTGACACTGTTGTCAAAGCACATTCTGATGGACAGCTAGCTCTGCAGATTTGCCCTGCGATTCAAAGATATGGATTTGTTGATGACTATTGGCAGAATCCACTCTTTTCCTCCTCATTCTAGGTTCAAACTGATGTGCTAAGAGACTTCTCTCTGCCTCCCACACCTAAGATGAGAATCTCGAGGTGAAAATTTGACTGTAATTGCTTTGCCTTGGTTGTTAAATATTTTTCTCAACTGTTTGGTGAGATTCTGTTTTCAAAAGCCTTTTGTAAACATTCTGTGCTACAGCTCATAAAGGAAAAATGTGAAGAGAATGTTCTGGAAACTGTGACTGTTCCGCCTGCAAATGCCTTGGATTAAAAGAGCCTGGGATTTTGGTCTCCTTTGTGCTGTCTTGGTATAGAATTGTTCTCAGGGCCCTTTGTGCAGGGAATTGCAATGTTGGGATTACAGATCATGTTTTATTGAAGCAAGATGGAAAATGTGAGAGAGACATGGAAAGAATAATTTTCCCTTTCTCTTGTTAGGTGTTGTCTTTTAATCTTCATCACTGTTTTCGCTGCTGCTCTTTTAAGACAGTCTGAAAGCTCTTGTCTCCATCCAGCCCATTTATTTCCAGCTGCTTGGTAGTGTTTGTAGATCACATATGTGGTTAAATTTCCCTAATGACAGCATTTCAGAGACAAGAGTTGTTTTCATCTTAATCATGTAGTCTTTATATATTAATACAAATGAAATAGTTTTGAACCCTTATCTTTCCCGGGTAAGGAAGGGTGGTCCATTCATGAGCATTAGTTGTTATTGTCTGTGTTGATCTTACTAACAGAGATACCTGCTTGTATGATTTATGAAATTTCTTCTCATAGGACAGTTTTTTCAAGTATTAATTACTCTTAAGTCTAAGTGTGAACACTCAGAGGTAGTCAAGCAATGTTGCTCACGGACAGGGGCAATGTTACCTTTGGAATAGCCCAAATCTTTTTCCTGTCACTCCAATCAAAAATGCAGTCTGCTTTCTTTTACTGGGTGAGAAAGAAAGCCTTTCAGGAGTGTCTTGCCTGGAGAAAATAGAACAAACGTTTATCTGGCCAGGTAGGAAAAGCCCACAAGCAGACAGGAGAGTGAGATAAGCAGGTTGATGGAATGCGGTGATCTACAGGGCATCAATGAGAGAGTGCTTATTTCCCTACTGACGATCGAATGTCAGATAGAGACATGGCTCCATCCAAAACCAGCAGCTTATTAGAGGCTTTCTAAACTCCTGCTGTTTGATACAGCTTTTTTTTTTTTTCTGCAGAGAAAATCAGAGATGGCACTTCAAGAATCTGATCAATAAGAAAAAGGGATTCTGGGATTGTAACTGTTTAGGTTATGTTTTTTTGGAAATGTCCCCTAGTCTGACAAGACCAAAACTTAGGAATCAATGACGAGCATACCTCTTAAAAATTGTATCATTTCAAAGTGTTAACCTTTCAAAATATGAAATATTCAGTGATCTTCTTGTTGAGAAGTTCAATTTATGTGACTTTTCCACCATTCGCTCAGCTGATTTTTTTGTATATCCCCGCCCTGCTTTTTTGCTCATTTGCAGTAATACTGTATGAAATTCATTTGCTTTTATAACAACCTGTCACTCATTCTGGACTGTATTCTTCTCTGAAATTATGTGTTTAGACAATAAAGCTGGGTCTTCCTAAAGGCTTGAATTAGCAATTGAAATCCCTGTAAGGAACAGTTATACCTCCTTGCAACCCAGAGCTCAGTTCCTGTGGTACTTCCTCAAGGGAGTTCTCCCAGGAGGTTGACGGTGGCTTGCTTAGCGCTGTCTCCACTCTGTCTCCCACTGAAATGCACAAGTTCACCTTGAGGCTTTCCTTCTTTCCCAGGAAAAGAAAGCAGAATGCAGTTGAGGGAAAAAAAATCACTAAGACCGTTTCATGTTCTTAGAAACCCCTCTTTCTCTCTACATTTAGCTGAGCACACCACTAGACTGATTTGGAATTCTAGCCTGAGGCCAGAAACCTGAACTTCTTGGTGGCTGTAATAATTCATAGGTGCTTTTGCCTTCTTAAAGTCTACTCAACAAATGTTTGGGGGAGCTTTGCTTAACTTAGAAAAACACTGCCTAAAGTTAAATTGAGATAAATTTAATGTTCTTTCCATCTCTTAAATTAGTGTGTTAGCAAACATTGAGAATGTACTTCTGGAGGGACATTCAATTGCCTGTTTTCAATTTGAAACATTATTAAAAGATACCTGTGTTGGAATACAGGGGAATTGCAAATATTGTGGCCATTGTTTGCTTTTATTCTGATATAAGCAATATTCTGGCCTTTAATTGTCTTAAGTGAATATGTGAGGAAAAAAATTGATATCAGCGCTAATAGCATCTTTCAAACCACTGAATTGTAATGATGTAAACATTGCTAAACAAGGGACATCCTATCATGCTGAACACTTAGCTTCTCTAGCCTATAATCCTCAATTGGACTCATTAGGCTGAAGGTTCTTTTTTCTTTATGGACAGGCAGAGTTAGACAGTAAGAGAGAGACAGAGAGAAAGGTCTTCCTTCCATTGGTTCACACCCCAAATGGCCGCTATGACCGGCGCACTGCGCCGATCCAAAGCCAGGAGCCAGGTGCCTCCACCTGGTCTCCCATGTGGGTGCAGGGTCCAAGGACTTGGACCATCCTCCACTGCACTCCCGGGCCACAGCAGAGAGCTGGACTGGAAGAGGAGCAACCGGGACAGAACCAGCGCCCCAACCGGGACTAGAACCAGGAGTGCCAGCGCTGCAGGTGGAGGATTAGCCTAGTGAGCCGCGGCGCCAGCCGGCAGAAGATTCTAAAGTGCTCCCCCATTTCCATTCCCTAGTAGATAAATGCTACACTCACGTTTGAATGATGATACCTTAATGTACATAGAGCGTTTAAGTAGTCAGAGCACTTTGATATGTTATCGCATTCTACACAGTGTGTCCTAGCATTATTAATATGTGTATACACATTATTTCTGAGTTCTATGGAGACGACATAGAAGGAGGTAAAAGTTTCCAATATTGAGGGTCAAATTGGAATCCTTGGAAGTTTCCTTGAATGAAACTTAAAAGTCATTGTAGCCTTAAAATGAATAACAACAGATACAAAAGTTACACTTTGTAAATTCACATTTATTAAATAAAAAAATAAATAATAAAAACAGAATGAGTGATGCAGAAGAGAGAATATCGAACTTAGAAGACAGAGAACAGGAAAGTATACAGTCAAACCAAAGAAAAGAAGAGGAAATTAGAAATCTACAGCTCAATAGGCTAATCATCCGCCTAGTGGCACTGGCACACCGGGTTCTGGTCCTGGTCGGGGCACCTGATTCTGTCCCTGTTGCCCCTCTTCCAGGCCAGCTCTCTGCTGTGGCCCAGGAGTGCAGTGGAGGATGGCCCAGGTACTTGGGCCCTGCACCCCATGGGAGACCAGGAGAAGCACCTGGCTCCTGGCTTTGGATCAGTGCAGCGCGCTGCCCACGGTGGCCATTGGAAGGTGAACCAATGGCAAAAAGGAAGACCTTTCTCTCTGTCTCTCTCTCTCACTGTCCACTCTGCCTGTAATAAAAAAAAAAAAAGAAAAAATCTAAAAAATATTGTCGGTAATCTACAGGATACTATTAAAAAAACCAACATTTGGGTTCTAGGAGTTCCTCAAGGCATGGAGAGGGAGAAAGGATTAGAATGCCTTTTTAGTGAGATACTAGCAGAAAATTTCCCAGGTTTGGAGAAGGACAGAGACATCCTAGTACAGGAAGCTCATAGAACCCCTAATAAATATGACAAAAAAATGAATAACAACAGAGAATAATGGAATTCATAAGGCTTGGGGACCCCATTCTCCAAACTTATGAGAAAAGGAAGAATAGTTTAAGATGCTAAAACTTAAAATCATTTCTGGGCTTCCATTTATAGAAATGCATATAAAAATGAAATAGTATTTGTGGTTTCACAAATGGAAAAACTCTGCAACAGTAAGAAAAATACATATCTTTGCACAAAATTTAGTTTAAGCATTAGTGAGGCAAATCCATCATGTAGAAGTCCTTGGGTTTTAAGTGTTCTCGTGGAAATATATTGCCTGAGGCAATAGATCAGATACTGTAAAGACCTTTTCTAAATCATTAAAAAGTCAATTCAATTACAAGTCTACTGTTCCTCAATTTAAACAGTATTACATACTTAGGAGCAAGAGAGGTCTTCCATCCACTGGTTCACTCCCAGAAGGCTGCAACTGCTGGAGCTGCACTGATCTAAAGCCAACCAATTAACTTCTTTATTCGAAGCACTTGACATATTATATTAGTTCTACAAACGTTTGATCTTTTGATATTAAAGGAAGGGAAATAAGAACTGAGCCATGTGGAAGCCCCACAGTGGCCAGGTTCATACCTGGGGTTCCCCAGACGATGTCTGTTGAATCCCCATAACTGCCCATTTACATGGAGGAAGCCAAGGAAATGAGTCTTCCTCATACCCGGAAAATGGAAGGGCTGGAATGCAATTCCTGCTCCGCCTCAGCATATCCCCAGATGCCCCGTGGGCTGCTCCCATCAAAGTGAGAAATATTTGTAATAGTTCCACAGATACTGGTGTCCCATATATTGTAATGAATTACACTTACATAGGCAGCAGGGGACAAAATCATTAGCAGTGTAGTGGAAACTCAGTGAATCAGTGCATGGGTATCACTATTCAACCCTTTAAATGCAAAAGTACAGTGATTACTTGTTGGTCCTTTGAGTGGAGACCTGCCCACCTTGGCAGAACTCTGCCTCTCCTGTGTTAGGGCAAAGTTTGTATGTAGTTGTGGGGTTTACTCTGTACACAGAGAAGTTGCTGTCTGTGGTCTCTCTCCAAACAACGCCATTTCCTTAGTGCTCCTTCAGTTGTAGTTCTGAACTGGTTTCTTTTTGTCTGTGTCACCTGGACAAGTCATGTGGTGTCTCTGAACTTCAGTTCCCTTGTCTTTAAAGTGTGGGTAAAGCCTGCTTCTCATATTTATGTCTAGCAGATAATTCATGCGAAAGCATATTCTAAACTGTAAATTTCTGTCATTTGATAGATAATAAATAGGTAGATGAAATGGCTATCAGTTCAGATGTATCACCTGCCAGTCCCTAATTCAAAAAACCCTGATTCATTGTAGAACAGAGTTAACAGCAGCAATATAAAAATGCAAGTGCTCCCATGGTTGTACCGTTCTGTGAAGACCAGCTTTTTATTCTTGTTATCCACACTGAGAATGTGTTCTGAGAGCAGAATTGGAATCTTCCTCTTTATCATTTTAACTGTATGAACACAAAGTCTGCGGTGGAGCATACCACACGATGAGGCAGGAGCCTCTGTGTGGAATGATCTCAAGCCAGGGAATGCTAAGGATGGATGGACTCCTCTGCCGGGCCAGGGTGTCGAAGAATACAGCAGACGCTATCTTACCACAGTAACATATTAACCTTATAGCATGGTTATAAAACACTAAGTGAAAGGAGGGGATCTTTTCCTTAAATAAATTCTAGAACCTTCTTGAAATACACAAAGTTGCTAACTAGAGAAGCTTGGAGATTCCAGAAAGCCATGAGGCAGACACATCAACATCACCGAGAAAAAAAGAAAAAGTAATTTATCCACCTATACTTTTATATATACTGTACAAGAAATTCTACTCAGCATGTCAGTGTTATTGGAATTTATAGAATCAGCCTTCAAAAAAGAGTGCAACTGTGTTGAAAGGAACAGCATTTTACAATGTTTCCCCAATTCATAAATATATCCCTTGACTATAGAAGTTTTCTTATTACCATGCCACCTCAGATTTTTTGATGTTAGTGGCTTGTTTTCTTTTTCTTGTTTTTGTTTTTGTTTTTGTTTTTTTTTTACTTTTTTATTTTTTTGACAGGCAGAGTAGACAGAGAGAGACAGGGAGAAAGGTCTTCCTTTTTCCATTGCTTCACCCCCTAATGGCCGCTGTGGCCGGCACACTGCACTGATCTGAAGCCAGGAGCCAGGTGCTTCTCCTGGTCTCCTGTGCCGGTGCAGGGCCCAAGCACTTGGGCCATCCTCCACTGCACTCCGAGGCCATAGCAGAGAGCTGGACTGGAAGAGGGGCAACCTGGACAGAATCCAGCGCCCCAAATGGGACTAGAACCCGGAGTGCTGGCGCCGCAGGCAGAGGATTAGCCTGTTGAGCCATGGCGCCGGCCATGGCTTGTTTTCTTAAAGATTTATTTATTTCAAAGGCAGAATTACAGAGAGACAGAGGCAGAGAGGGAGAAAGAGAGGCCTTCCATTCACTGGTTCGCTCCCCAGATGGCAGCAACAGCCAGAGCTGCGCCGATCCAAAGCCAGGAGCCAGGAGCTTCTTTTGGGTCCCCTCATGCAGATGCAGGGGCCCAAGGACTTGGGCCACCTTCTTCTGCTTTCCCAGGCCATTAGCAGGAGATGGATCGGAAGTGGAGCAGTCGGGACTTGAACCAGCACCCATATGGGATGCCGGCACAGGTGGGAGCTTTACCCGCTACACCACAGCACCAGCCCCCGTAGCTTGTTTTTAATTTAGATTTCCATCCCCTCTCTACTGTTCAGAACACCTCAATCTGTCCATGATTTCAAAATTTTCTTTCACTAATATCTAAAGAGTAACTCCTAATACTCAAGCACATATAATATGTAACCCAAAAAAGAAGGTTAGGAATAAACTGGGGAAACTTTTCCATCAGGAGCTCAAGTTTGACAGCTTGTCAGACTGACAAGCTGATGCGCTGGCTTCAGAGATAACTGGGGGTGTTGATGATATCTGTGCTCTGTTTCAAGCCAAGAACTCGAGACCAGTGACCATCTATTACCAAAGGCAGCGTTACCGAGCACAAGTAGAAAACGGAATTTCAACCTGTTGTGTGGTACATTTTGTTTATTAATGTGGTCAGCTAATTGCCTCTTCTCAAAGCACTCCCTGCTCTGCCTGTGACAGTCTTGAGGTTAGAAATTTCAATGATTTGTGTCATTCAGGCAACATTAATTCCAATATGATTAGTGTCTTGCATATCCCATACATCAGTCTTAAATGAAAGAATCAGAGATGGATTCCTTTTCAGGTTTTGATGGTCATCTTACAGGGCCAGATTCTTTCATTCTCTGTCAAGTCCAGCAAGGAGGCAAATTAGATGGCAAAGTTTTGCTGACAGGAGAGGCTCTGATGCCCCTGCCCTCCCCCTCCATGTGCTAATGCTTAACCAAGGTGACTGTTTTCAATTAAAACCGGACCATCAATTTTTTTAAAAAATCAATAAAAGAGATTCTATTTTCAGTTGAATAAATAAGAAATATGACAATATATAAAAGTCCCATTTCCGTGGAGTTGCCCTTGTGATATTTTGTAGTGCCTTAGGCTTGCTGACACTGAGCAGCTTGTTCTCAAAGAGGCACACCAGGCGATTTTTCCACTTGTTAAATTTTTGGAATGTTTCTCATTATATTCAGTCCAGTTTCTAAGTCCAGGTCAGAGTGTTGGCTGTTGTCATCTGACCTTGCTAAACTTTCAAGGGTAGAAGAATTCTCTTTTTCTTCTTCTCCATTTTCTGTTTTCAGTGGTAAAAGCAAGAAAGGTTTTTTAAAGTCTAGAGGAAATGGGACTGATCATGTAGTCTCAGCTCACTCTGTTTGAATGTGACTGAAGCACTCTTCTGGGCACAGGAAACTGCAACCCCACGCACAACAGCTTCGGCAGCAAAGGGCAAGTGTGTGAATCACGTCTTGGCTCAGTCTGGCTGTTCTGGATCCACGCACTTTTCCTTACCGCGCTCCCTGGGTCCACATAGCTTGGTTCTGCTCCCTTCTGCATCAGCCCTTTTCCCCAACAGGCCTTCTCTGCATGTTGGTGGGAAGGAGGGGTCTCAAGCCCAGCTCCTATTAAACTTGGCCCCACAAGAAAACAGAGCTTATCATTTCCAAGTGTTTCCTCCAATATTCCATCCCATCAGTGCAGGTCAACCTGGTTCAGATCATTTGTTCATCCCTGAGCCAATCACAAAGGAACATGGGGAGGGAGCTAATTATCTAGACATAGGTTGCAGGCCTAGAGGGGTGGTCTTAGCTCCCGGTGGAGCTGAGGAGTAGGGCGAGAGCTCCTCCCATGGACAGTCTCAACTCCTGTTACTAGAAGTGGGACTGATTTCTAAGACAGAAATAATAGGGGGCGATGAATAAACCCATTTTGACTTCCCAATTCTGACAATGTCTGGTGGAAAATTGTTGTATCACGTGGGTATCAACTCCTTTTTTTTTTTTTTTTTTTTTGACAGGCAGAGTAGACAGTGAGAGAGAGAGAGAAAGGTCTTCCTTTGCTGTTGGTTCACCCTCCAATGGCCACCGCAGCCAGCGTGCTGTGGCCGGTACACCACGCTGATCCGATGGTAGGAGCCAGGTACTTATCCTGGTCTCCCATGGGGTGCAGGGCCCAAGTACTTTGGCCATCCTCCACTGCACTCCCTGGCCATAGCAAAGAGCTGGCCTGGAAGAGGGGGCAACTGGGATAAAATCCGGCGCCCCAACCGGGACTAGAACCCGGTGTGCCAGTGCCGCAAGGCGGAGGATTAGCCTAGTGAGCCGCGGCGCTGGCCAGTCAACTCTTAATTTGATGAGCTTTGTTAGAATGCCAGATTTGAAGCCATGAGATCAGAGTTAAAAATCCTGTCCTGATACCTGTTAACCTCTGTAACCCTGGGACAAGCCTCTTAGTCAGAACCTAGTTTCTTCTTCCTAAAATGAGATTGGTAACAACCTGACACACACCATTGTCACAAGACACAAATAAAGCAATTTTTGTTGAAATATTTTACAGACTCTAAAGCT